GTGTGGGTTCTAGGGATTAAATCCAGGTGGTCAGTCCTGGCAGCAATACTTTATCCACTGAGACCTCTAACTGGCCCAGAAATTTTTTATTTTAAACAACCAGATATTTATGTACATTGTTTGGTTCCTACTTTCCTGATGACTACTCTTGTAGCCGACATCCATATGTTTTTATTGGTCATAAAAATACTATCGTATATTTTATTAGATTGCTTTATCTTTATTGAGTACCAGGAGTTCTGTTTGGTTTTGATTAGAAGTTATATTTGTTTCCTTTACAGCCTTGGAGATTGAGCCTAAGATCTTTTTTGGTTTTTCGAGACAGGGTTTCTCTGTGTAGCCCTGGCTGCCCTGGAACTCACTCTGTAGACCAGGCTGGCCTTGAACTCAGAAATCCGCCTGTCTCTGCCTCCCAAATGCTGGGATTAAAGGCGTGCGCCACCACTGCCCGGCCCTAAGATCTTATATACTAGGCAAATATTCTACTTACAATTACAGCCATTTTTATTTTATGTTTTTCAGCACTGAGGCAATATCTCCTTAAGTTACCTAGTCTGGGCTTGAACTTGTGAGATATATCAATCCGACTGGTCTTAACCGTGCAATTCTTCTGCTCCAGCTTCCTGAATTGTTGGGGTTATGGTGGGGTCTATGTGGTCAAGACTGGCTTTTGTTTTTTTATTGAATTTTTTTTATTTTCCCCACAGACCTACCTACACACACTTTGAGACAGGGTTTCTCTGTGTAGCCCTGGCTGTTCTAGAACTCACTCTGTAGACCAGGCTGGCCTCAAACTCAAAAATCTGCCTGACTTTGACTCCTGAGTGTTGGGATTAAAGGTATGTACTACCATACCCAGCTAATTTTATTTTAAATTGTATCCTTGTGCATCTGTGTAGAAGAAATGTGTGCCAAAGCTGTCCTTAGAGGCCAGAAGAGGACATCAGATCCCTAGAGCTGGGATTCCAGTTGTGAACTGCCATTAGCTGCTGTTAGGAACAGAAGAGCAGCAGATTTCTCTCTAGCCTTCCCTGGTGACCTAAATTAGCCATGGACTCACTCTTCTTTCTTTAGCCTTCCCTGGGCTGGGATTACATGGGTATACCACCATGCCTGGCTAGGAGCTCTTCACAGATCCCAAACACTAGTCTGTTACATGTATATTTTGTAAATATTCTCCCAGTCTCAATACATTTTTCCCAATTTATCTTCATTTATTTACATATGTGTATGTGTGAATGCATGTGTATTTGTGTAGGTAGGCAGGTCTGTGAGCACACAGATATCAGGAGAAGGCACTGGATCCCTTGGAACCAGAGTTACAGGTGCTTACAGGATACATGGTTTGTCGTGCGGGTGCTGAGATAGAAACCCTGGTCCCTGTGAGTGTGCTGCTAGTGCTCTTAACTGCTGGGCCATCTCTCCAGCCCCAGTCTTCATATATCCTATCCACTTTCTTAAACAAGTCCTTTAATGATCACTAGCTCTCATCTCTCATCACAGAAATAGTGATGGGAAAGTGCTAAGCCATGTGTAGTAGGCCCTTGTTATCGTCTCTGCCTGACTAAATCATCCACAGGAGTTGTGTTCTTAAACTAGTGTATTTTGTCTTTTGTCATAGACTGTTCATTTTGATTAGTCTTGTTAAGTTAAACATTCACAGTACTGTGGTCTAGTTACTCAGATCTGACCACCACAGTTAAATGGTGAGCAGGTACCAGTGTTGTACAAATTACACTGTTAAACTGCCAACCAATGTTTACATTTATTGAAAGCTCGCCCTGGAAGCAAAATTTGTCTCTACCAAAACTCTGTATCCTGGGTCAGGCTGACCACCTAACTCTGTAAGGGAGTAGAAGAAGAGAAAAACAAGCACCTAAGAGAAATAGTAATATTTAAAATATCTTATCAGGCTAGAGAGAGGATTCAACCACTAAGAGTACAAACTGCTCTTGCAGAGGACCTGGGATTGGGTCCAAGCACCCACACTGGTCAGCTTACAACTGCCTGTAACTTCAGTCCTGCAAGATCTAACACCTCTACCCTTCACTAACATTCACATGCACATACCTAAATACATACACAACCATAACTAAAAAAATAACATAGCTTAAGGAATTTGTATAGCTGAGAACAGTTACAAGGTAAAGTATTTCCAACAGATGTTATTGTTATCTCATCTGCAGTGGGAAAAGGGACCCAGAGCTCGTCCTTGTTGACTTCAGTGGAAAACTCCAGCTGACTCCCTTACCCTCCTTAGCTGACTTCTGTTGGATGTTTATGAGCACACAAACATGGTGGGGCTCCCCCAATAATGTGACATGTTGTTCTCCTAACTGGGCCACTCCAGTCATCTCTGACAGGTGTTTTTAACACCCAATTTGATGTTTTCTTGTTTATCTGCTCTTCTGACTGCTACTTGCTATTTGTTGTTTTACTTTTGTTTACTTTATATTTAATAAGCTCACTCATTCAAACCTCAAAGTATGACTATTACAGGTCATCTCCTGGGCTGTGCAGAACAGGCAGTGACCCTCTGTGGTCAGGCTCTGCAAGTTTTGAGGGAATGAATTCAAACATGGTCACAGTGTCAGGCATCAATTTCATCATAAAGACAGGAGTCGGAGTTGGGAAAAGCACATGCAGAGCAGTCTTGTGGCTAGACTGTAGTTCACAAATGTGATTAGTTAGCTTATGTTTGTTCTCAGTGAATACCTGACACTCCTTAGCCAAAGGATTCTTTTAAATACATATTAAAACATTTTAAGATAAAGAAATGGGGAGATAGATACGTGGGGTCAGAGGATATTTTGTTGGACTCAGTTTATTCCTCCCACCTGGGAATCAAACTTAAGGTTGTTAGGCTTAGCAGCGAGCACCTTTACTCTATAAGCTACTTCTCTGGCCCTCTGTCAAAGGATTCTACAATTAAACAGCTCGAGCCTGGTATGGTGGCACATGCTTTTAATCCCAGTATTTGAGGTAGGTGACTGTCTGAGTCCAAGGCCAGCCTGGGGAGTGGCAGACACTCTGAAATCAGTGATTTGCAGCATTTAACTTTCACAACAGCCAGCTGCAGTAGGCACAGTGACAAGCCTTATTTTCTCAAAGGAGGAACCAAAGGCAGGGGGCTAACTCTCACTATGCAGCAGCACATGTTAGAGCCAGCAGTGAAGCCCAAGCAGTCTAGCTAAGTCTGTGTTCCACAGCTCATCAAAGTTCACTGCCCAGCCCCCCTCACCTGGAGAGAACTGGGTGTCTTGTTCACTGTCTAGCCCCCCTCACCTGGGGACAACTGGGTGCCTTGTTAGACAAGATACTGCACTGGAGCAGCCACTCTCCGAACCCAGCTACTTCCTCAGTGGCCGCTGTGCGAAGGAGGTCAGACATTTGTGGGGTGAGTGTGCAGCAATTTTGCTCATGTTGAAGCAAAGCCTGTGTTCCCTTGTGTGCAGCTGCTGACTCTCAATTCTGCTGTTCTTCTCGGAGAGACAAGTGGATGTGTTTGAAATAGAAACCATCTTTGTGGAGCTGTGTGGTATCGACACAGGCTAAAGCACATCAAACACTGTAGGACTTTGGATCAGGACTTTCCCCCCTTCTTTTTATGTGTGTGTTGGGGATCACATCCATAGTCTCGAGCTTGCAGGCAAGTACTCTACCACTGAACTAAACTCCCAGCAAAGAGTGCTATTGTCTGTATGTTGAAATCCTACCCCTCAAGGGGATGGTATTAGAGAAAGGGGTCTTGGTGGGGGGGAGGCTGTTGCCAGTCAGCTTTCTGCAGCTGTGACTAAACACCTAAGAAAGCAACTTGAAAAGAGGACAGGTTTACACTGGTTCTTATTCTCAGAGGTGTCAGTCCTATGGCTGCAAGGCTGTGGTGAGGCAGAACACCATGGTGGCAGGAACATGTGCCTCAAGATGTCAGGAAGAGATAGAAAAAAGGAGAAAAAGAAGGCAGAGAAAGAGGAAGAAGAGGGAGGGAACTTTCATAGGCACAAACCCAGTGACTTACTCCTCCAAGCTGGCTTCAACCTAAAATTTAAAACACTTTTTTACATTATTTATTTTGTGTGGGGGTGGATGCACATGTGTCTGGAGGCCACAGAACAACTTGGCAGAATTCTCTCTCTCCTTCACTACATGGGTCCTGGGATCAATCTTAGATCACCAGGCTGGATGCAAGGTGCTATTACCTGTTGAGTCCAGGCCTCAACTCTTAAGAGCCTATTCCGCTATCTATTGATCAAGCTGGAGCTGTTATAATCCAGTCACTTCTCAATATCACCATCAGAGGGGGATCAGTGTTCAACACATGAACAATTTTAGGAAGTGTGACAGTTCATATTCAAACCATAGTGGGGATGATAGGGTTGAGGGTGGAGTTCTTATGAATGTGATTTGTGGATTTGTTGTTGATGTTTTGTGTGTTTGTTTTTTAAGAGAGGGTTTCAGTCTGTAGAGCAGGCTGCCCTCAAACTCATAGAGACTGCCTCTGCCTCCCAAATGCTGGGATTAAAGGCGTATGCTACCACTGCCAGGCTGTGACCCGAGTTCTTATAAAGTAGGTTTTGGGAAGGTCATTGTCTTTTCTACTTTATGGCTTTTTTAGCAGTGAGAAAATGCCCATGAAGGAAGTCAGCCCGACCAGAAAGTCATCCCAAATCCTCAGAGATGGACAAGGGAGGCAGCTTGTACTGAAAGAGCAGTATAATTTAAGAACTTTCTAAAAATGATAAGTGGTTATAACTGTCACATTCTAGTCTCAAACGATATGAGGTTCAAACTCACTTCCCCATCTCATGCTTTCTCGTACGATTTTTCTTTTCATTTTCGCTTTTTCCAACCCCAGAGCAACCGCACGTCTCTCCGGAGCCGCTCTGCTCGTCTCTAGTGCTTCCGCCCTGGGGCGTCCAAGTGAGCGTGCGCTTCCGGAGCCAGGAAGTGCGTCATCAGCTCGCGCCAGTTCCTGCACGTTGTGCCGGGTCGCCTGGGATTTGGATACTGGAGTATTCCGGTGGGCTGGCGTTCTGTGACTGTGTGCCGGGCTCCGGCTTCTGCGCGCTACGATGCAGGTCTCCAGCCTCAACGAAGTGAAGATTTACAGCCTTAGCTGCGGCAAGTCTCTTCCGGAGGTGAGTCCTCATCCCCTCGCCGCCTCCGCTCCTCTCATTGCTCTAATGACTGACATACATCTCTAGTTTACCATTGGCTGGCTGTGGTGGCTAGTTTTATGTCACCTTGACACAAGCTAGAGTTAACTGAAAGGAGGGAACCTCAATTGAAAAAATGCCTCCATAAGATCTAGCTGTAGGACACTTTCTTAGTGATTGATGGGGAAGGGCTTAGCCCATGGTGGATGGTGCCATTCCTGAGCTATGGCCCTGGGTTCTATAAGAAAGCAGGCCAAGGGCTGGAGAGATGGCTCACAAATAAAAATATAAGAAAGCAGGCCAAGCGAGCCAGTAAACAATAGTACTTCATGGCCTTTGCATAAGCACCTGCCTCCAGGTTTCTGCCCTGTTTGAGTTTCTGTCTTGAGTTCCCTCAGTGATGGTCTGCGATGTAGAAGTGTGGCTGAATTTTATCACGACATAGAAAACCAAAGACAATATCTTTGCCTGTATTAGGTTCATGTGTAGGAACATGCTGACTGTCTAGAAACTACTCTCACATCCTTTAATTGAAAGATCATTGCCTGAAATACAGTCAGAGCAATACAGTCACAGACTGTAAGGCAGCTCACTTACTGCAGAGAGCTGGAAAACTGTGGCCCACCCCCGGGCTCTTCAAAGTATCATCCTGTTCCAAATACAGACTGCCTTGGTGTATACTTAGGGACTAGAGAGGTGAGTCTGCGTGACTAGAGACTTCTAAAGATTATTTTGCCATGACTAGTAAGGATAGTACACTAGCTTTTCTCTTTAAAAATGACTTTTTTCCCAATGGGGGATTTAGCCTCAAATTTATTGACATTTTAAGCTGGACACTTCCTTGTTGCTGATGTTGTCTTATATAATGTTTGCTAGCATCCCTGGTCCATACCTACAAGGTACTAGGATTACATCTCCCAATTGTGATGATAGACTAAGACTTTAAGAATTATTGCCAGGCGGTGGTGGCGCATGCCTTTAATCCCAGCACTTGGGAGGCAGAGGCAGGCGGATTTCTGAGTTCGAGGCCAGCCTGGTCTACTGAGTGAGTTCCAGGACAGCCGGGGCTACACAGAGAAACCCTGTCTCAAAAAACAAAACAAAACAGAATTGCCATAAGCCTTCTGGGAAGCAAAATTGTCCCAGTAGAGACCCATCCCTGCAGTGACACTATAACTGACAAGTGCTCTATTGTTGCCGTTCATTCAACTGTTGCCTGTAGAATACAATTGGCTTTCAGTGACTGTGCTGGTAAAAACCACTCTTATCCAGGGTTGGCTGTTAGGCCAGCCATAGGTCTGTTCCTAGTCTTTGCAAGAAATACATTTGACTGGCAAAGAGATACGTTTATACTTCCAGTGTTTGGGAGGCTAAGACAGGATGATTATGAGCCTGTGTTCAGCCTGGCTACAGTGCTACATAGTGTGACTCTGTCTCAACACAGGAACATGTACACACATTAGGGGCACTCACTCCATATAGAAATTAAAACCCATCATTTTGAGAGTTTGCATTCTCTTAGCTTAGATGGATACATCTTATGCTTTTGTTTAATGCTTTGTAAAACAGTTGTTTTAAAATTTGTTTAGTATATGTAAATATTTTGTTTTAAATACATAATTTGAGCACTGGAGAGATGGCTCAGCACTTAGAGCACTGGTTGCTCTTCCAGAGGTCCTGAGTTCAATTCCCAGCAACCACATGGTGGCTTACAACAATCTGTTCTGGGATCTGATGCTCTTTTCTGGCATTCAGGCATACATGCAGACAGAGCACTTACATACATAAAAAAATTAAGTAAAATCCAGAATATATGTTATCATGGAGTTAAGATTATAGAATAGTCCCACTTTCCATTTTATTATTTCCTGTAAGCTTACATTTTCTAAAGTGAACATTATTTTGCAAGTAAGAAATAATTTAGATATGTTTTAAAGCGCACTCTCTGTTTCCTTGTAGTGGCTTTCTGACAGGAAGAAGAGAGCACTGCAGAAGAAGGATGTCGGTGAGTATGCAGGGTGCTCCAGCTTGTCAGCTGCCTGTGGGACAGTGTCCTCAGCTCTCTGCCTCTCAAGCTTGGGGTGTGGGAAATAAGCTTTTTGCTCTCTCTCTTTGATGTTTTTGGTTACTGTCCTGCAGGTGATGTAGTATCTCCCTTTCAAGATAATGAGGTAGCCTCACCCTCTTTCATAGATGACAGCAAGGCTCCTGAATCAGAGGCACAGACTTTAGCATTCATGACACGGCAAGATGGCAGGAATTTCAGCATGTTTATCCTAGTTGCCCCTTGGGTGGGCTTCAGCATGGCTCGGATGAGGCCTGCGCACAGTGGGTCTGCGTTTCAGGGAGGAGCCCAGAGGTGGGAAGCCCACTGCTTTGGTAGCAGGCAGAAAACAGGCCTGCCCTTCTGTGACCTCATTTGTCAGAATTCACAGTTGCCAACAACCCTGAGACATAGCTCAGGTAAAAGTGGTTAGACTCTTGCAGGACTGCCACACTCAGCAAGATGGCCCAAGGAGGACTGTCTTTCAAAACAGTTCCTACTGTGTCAGAATTGTTATCTGTTAGTTGAATGTCTCTGTTTTGCAATAGAGAGACAGTAAATAGACAGTAAATGTTTTCATTGTAAACAGAAGAACTTTGTGTGTGAACTGTCTAGATGTGAACAATGAGGTCCATCGGTGACTCACCTGGCCTTGATGAGTTCATTCCCATCAAACATTTTCCAGCTCAGGCTACCAGTGACAGGAGGAGGCTTACCCTCCTGCAGGTTTCAGTTTTAGCTAGGAGGTTACCAGTGATAGGAGGCTTACCTTCCTGTAGGTTTCAGTTTTAGCTAGGAGGTTACCAGTGATAGGAGGCTTACCTTCCTGTAGGTTTCAGTTTTAGCTAGGAGGTTACCAGTGATAGGAGGCTTACCTTCCTGCAGATTTCAGTTTTAGCTAGGAGGGGTTTAGCTGTGACATTGAGATCTTTTGGCAAGCTTCTTGAAAAAAATGGGCTCTGTATGGTACTAAAGTCAGGTAGAAAGTGAGATTTTTAACTCAGGAGGAAACAAATGCTGCTCAGAGCCTACAGACTGGGATTTTATCTGCTCCCCTTCCAGGGCGCTCATGTGTTACAAAATGCATTCAGGTTATTTATGGGAAGAAACTGTTTCCTGGCCTGCTCAGGACTAATAGGTGTCTAGCAATTCAAGTGGTTCAGTATTTGATTTTTTTTGTTCTTTGTGGTGCCAGGGATTGAACCCAGGGCCTCACACATGCTAAGCATGTTGTCTAGCACTAAGCCACACCCACAGGCCTTCCTCCAGTCTTAATATTTGGGTTTTATACACAAGGCATAAATGTGTCGTAGATAAGCTGTGTTCGCAGTAGTGACCAGTCAGAATCCTTACTCTGGTAGAAAAAAAATGTATTTTTTGAGAGTAGGTTCCGTGGTCCACAGAGGCTGCACTAGGTCTTCCTTTTTAGCCTGTGCCCTCCTGGCTACAGAGAGGCAGAGCTAACAGGGAAACATCAACTCTACACTAATTTCTTGGATAAGCCTAAGATTTTAGAGGCTCATGCCTAGAAATGTTTAGGTGAAAACACTGTTTATTGTTGCAGCAGTGACTAATGGTGAGTTAATGTTCCTCCTTCACCCAGGTCTTTAAACTTTTTCTTATTATCATTGTGGACTTTTTCAAGATGTTATTTCTTTTTAAAAAGTGAGAAAAAAGTCAGTTTTCCATTACCATAGCAGAGTACCTGAGGTAACTCAAAAGGAGGAACGTCTTGTTTTCCTCATGGTTTTGGAGGGTTTTGTCTGTGTACAACTGGTTTTGTTGCTTTGGGGCCTGTGGTGAGACAACACGTGGTGGTGGAAGCTCATGGTGGAAGGGGCTGTTCACTGTTTAGTATCTAGGAAACAGGAGGAGATGGAGCAAATGAATATCCTATAGTCTGCTTTGAGGGCATGACTCCAGTGGCTAAGACCTCACTACCCCTCCCCCAAAAGTTTTACTACCTCCCAATTAAAACATGAGCCCAGGAACCAGACCTTTGGACACTTGGGTCCCTGGGGGAATTCAGATTCCAACTGTTAACTGGTAGGAGCTAAGAGGAAAGCTGGGTGGGCTGTGTTGGGGTCCTTCTCAGGGATGGCAGCTGTTGGGTTGTATACTGCTGCCTACAGTCGTTGTTCCTGTCCAGCATGCTCTGCCCTTCTCCCCTGGTGCCCGTGTTGAACTAGTTTCCATCCCACCCCCTTCTCTCTTTGTAGATGTTCGTAGGAGAATTGAACTTATTCAGGACTTTGAAATGCCTACTGTGTGTACTACTATCAAGGTGTCAAAAGATGGACAGTATATTTTAGCAACTGGTAAGCATCTTTGTGGTTATGATTAGTATGTCTTCCATAATAGGAAGTGCTCTAGTAGGAAAAGGTCACTCCCTTTGTTTACCTCAGTGTTTTATTATAATCATTTTCAGACATACAGAAATATTCAAAAGAATTTAATGAGCACTCATTTATCTGTGACCTAGATTCTTCACTGAATAGCTTACTGTGTTTATCAATCCATATCTTTTTAAAATGAATTTTCAGAGTAGGTCTCAGATAACAGCTTTTTTATTTTATTTTTAATTTTTGGCTTCGTTATGTATCCTAGACTGGCCTCACAGTCTTCCCGTCTCTACTTCCAGGTGCTGAGACTACAGTATGTGCATTCATACCAGATTTTGCTCCACTCGATTTTAATGGCGTCATATATATACCCAGCCAGTCCCTTTAGGCTGTATTGATGGCTGTCATAGTATCTCTAAGCCTGTGGGTTTTTTTTTTAAGATTTATTATTTTATTTTTTGTATATGAGTATAGCCGTATCTTGTAAGTGCAATGTGTGTATGCCTTATACCAAGAAATCCAAAAGAGCTTTTGATCCCAGGAACTGGAGTGACACAGTTGTAAGCCATCACGTGGGTGCAGGGAACCAAACCCTGGTCCTTTGGAAAGCAGCCAGTCTTTTAACAGTGAGCCCTTCAGCCTCTGTTTTTATTTTGAGAAACTGGGAAAGAGGATTGAGGAGACCTGAGATGTTTGGACACAGTTATTGGGGGCTAGAAGGAACTTAGACCTTTAATTCAGATCTCGATCCAGAGATACTGAATGATGGGCCCAGTGCTCCAGGGGGTAGATCAAGTGGGAGGATTTTGTTATTGATTTAAACAGGTTCACACTATGCAGCTCTGGCTGTCCTAGACCTGGCTGTGTAGATCAGGCTGGCCTCAAACTCACAGAGATCCACTTGCCTCTGCCTCCCAAGTGCTAAGATTGAAAATGCATCACCATGCCTAGCAAGAGAGATTTAATGTTAAATTACACTTTCTTTTATGAAATCATTCTGTACTCCTGACAAGATTATTGGTTTCTTACTTAGAATCCTTGGGTTTTACTTTTTTGTTGTTGCTTTTCTTTTTTTCTAGGCAGGGTTTCTCTGTGTAGCCCTGGCTGTCCTAGAACCTGCTCTATAGAACAGGCTGGCCCCAAACTCAACAATTTACCTGCCTCTGCCTCCCAAGTGCTGGGATTAAAGGCGTGTGCCACCATCGCCAGTTAGGTTTTACTTTGACCTTAAAAAGACTTTTCATCAATAATATATGAACATTGATAGTCTCAGAATTTAAGTTTTGATTGTAGTTGCTTTTAATTTAAATATCTCTGTACAGCTAGTGGCTGTTAGAGACAGTGTGGTTGAGTGCAGCGTCCTCTGGTTTGCCTCTATTCTGGCCCTTTCCTTGGGACTCACAGAAGTGGATTTAGGGATCCACTTGCTGTCTCTTAGCTCAGTAGAGCTAGACCTTTCATCTCTGGCTTCTGTCACTGCCTCCATCTTTGTCACTGCTCTAGGACTTGTGGCTAAAAACAAGTTGGACAACATTTGTCCCTGGAGATGTTTCAGTCAAGATTAACTACCCACAGGAATCAGACCAGGGCATGTGCAAACTGTGATCTGTCACAGAGCTAACCAGCCTCTTGGCTTCCTTTGGAAGCATTGAGTTTAGAGTCAGACCAGATTCACATGCTCCTTTCCTTCTCTTCGGTGCTGGGGACCAACCCCCTTGCTTTAAGAGTGCCATGTAAGTGCTCTAGAGACCGAGCAGTGTCTCAGCTACAAATCTGTCCTCGGTGACCTTGTTAGACTTTACTCATACATAGGGATGGAAATGGAAACTGAGGCGCTGATTTTATCCAAATGTATGTTTTTGCCCCATTCTTTTTCTTGAGAGTCAAGATAATGTAATGAACCTTGTAGACAATGCAGAAATAAAAGGAAAAACAAACTCAAATTCAAAGCAAAGGCCCTGCATATCTTAGTAGTTTTTCCTAAGGCCCATCACACAGCAATCATGTCATCATCCAGTGGTGGACTCAAAGTCTGCAAGCTTTTCTGCTTTGGGAAGACTTGCTGTCCTGTTGCTTTGGGAAACAGGATGTCTTCTCTAGCCTGAGCTCATGTGCCTGCTGCCTCAGCCTCTTAGTGCTGGGGTTATAGTCATGCATTACCATGCTAAGTATATTTTTTTGGTTTTTAAACTTTTCTTTTTTTAAATGAAATCTTAAGTTTTGATTCATGCTGGAAAACTATTTCCTTTTGTTTTTTTTTTTTTTTATAATGTCATTTTGGTTTTAAAAAATGATCCTGCCAGGCAGTGGTGGCGCACGCCTTTAATCCCAGCACTTGGGAGGCAGAGGCAGGCAGATTTCTGAGTTCAAGGCCAGCCTGGTCTACAGAGTGAGTTCCAGGACAGCCAGGGCTACACAGGGAAACCCTGTCTCAAAACAAAACAAAACAAAACAAAACAAAAAATGATGGTTCATTTATATAAAATGCAAATATTATAGAAGAATGTGACATAAGGTGTGAGCTTCCCCAGATAGTTGCTATGCCTGCACTTACTCTGCCCACCATCCCTGTGAAGCTGCCTTTAGCTTCATAGAATCGGGATCTTAAGCACTATGTTGCACTCCTCACCTCTGGTCTTTGAACTCACTTCCCTTATCATTGTGGGGGCTGCTGAGGTGGCTCGCTGTGAAGCCTGAGTTCAATCCCTGGACTCCACATGGTGGAAAGAGAGAACCAACTGCACAGCACACTTTGGGAGCCTGTTACTGGTGCTACGGCTCTGCTGTCTTTGTGTGCTGTGTGTTTCCTGGTGGGGGTTACCACCGTTTATTTAAGCAGGGCTCTATCAGTGGAGCCTGTTTGCTTTTAATCTTTGGCCATATGTGACACAAGTTGCAGCGAACATTCTTCCTGTAGCCCTTAGGCTTGTGGCTGGGTTTCTATAGTCCACAAGTGGTGTTACAGTTTCAAGGTGAATTCCTGTCACATGTATTGGACATTATCAGGGAAGTTGAATCCCTTAGTGTTTGAATAATTTTTTAACCCTTTCACTGACACAAATATTAAGCATCTTTTTTGTCTTGTCAAGCTACTTGATTTTTTTCTGTTTTCTTTTACTGGATTGCCATGAATCTTCTAAGGTATTTATATTTCATTCTCTATGGTTCTTTGATTTGGTCCTATCCTACCTCAGGACAGAAAGGACACAAAGCAGTTGTGTAGAGTGTGGCTACGCAAATTGTAGCCTTTGTTTTTGCATCATGCTAATTTTTTTTTTTTATAGGAACATATAAGCCTCGGGTCCGGTGTTATGACACCTATCAGTTATCCTTGAAGTTTGAAAGGTGCTTGGATTCTGAAGGTAAGAGGCCAACTCTGGGCTCATAAATAGCTTTTCAGAATTGTCCATTGCACTGCTCTTTAAAATGAGAGTGGGTTGTGCGGTAGGTTTTGGTTGCTGTAGATGAAGTAGTTTAATATGGTGCTGCACTTAACAGGCTGTAACCTGCACTGGCCACGCTCTGGGCTGTGCACAGACTGTCCTCATGGGGTCGGCCAGGTGGGCTCTAACCTTTAAGGCTGGTCTAGAGTAGGCTTCCAGCTTCACAAAGGTTATGGCTATGGGACTGGGAGGTGGTGTCTCCTTTCTTGCTGGGTTTCAGCTGGACTCCATTTGCTTTGTAAGGCTGCCAGCATTTTTTTTTTTTTAATCTTATGTGTATGGGTGTTTTGCCCACATATTTGTCTGTGCACCATGCATGTGCCTGATACCACAGTAGGCCAGAAGAGGGCATATGATCCACTCCAACTGGAGTTACAGATGGTGAGCTGCATGTGGGTGCTGGGACTCAAAACCTGGGTTTTCTGGAAGAACAACAAATGCTTTTAACCACTGACTCCTGTCTCCAGCTTGAGAGACCTCTTCTTTTAAGAGATTCATATGATTAAACAAACCTTCCCCTTTGTCATACAGTATAATATAATCTCGGAGCAGTGCATCAATAACTCACAGGTTCCACCCTTACTCTTACCAGGGGAACATGGCACCCTGTAAAGGTTACAGGGGTTATTTCCAGAATATTGCCTAATATGGACAGCAGGTTAAAATGGCAGAGTTCAGCTTTTATCAGCCCAGTGTTTTAGGAACAATGGGAAAGAAGTAAATGAGATACAGTGCTGTGTAGAATTACCAGCATAGCCTCCTAGTCTCACCCTTGCTGCTAGAGAACATAGAAACTTTGTATGCCAGTAATAACAGCTGTTTAACTCTGTTTTGTATAGAGATAAACTTTGTTTAGGCAAAGAGTTACTGATGCCTTTTTTCTTTTTTTTTTTTTTTTTGAGACAGAGTTTCTCTTTGCAGTCATGCCTGATTCACAACTCATTATCTACACCAGACTGGCCTCAAACTCACAGAACTCTTCTTTCCTCGGCCTCCCAAGTGCTGGGAGTAAAGTCCTGCACCACCACATGAACACCCAGCCTGGGGCCCCATCTTAAAGCAGCATTTTAAAGGCTGCTCTTTAGTTTATATTTGAAAATATTAAAAACTACTAAGAACACCTCAGCTAAACTGGCAAAAATTTTTAGGAATCATTCTAAATTTACTTCAATTCTGTAAAAAAAGAAAAAATCTAGATAGTAATGACTTTTCATTTATTATTAGTGGGAATGTTCTTCTTGTTGTATGGAGAGGTAGGACAAAGACAGGATTTGTAGATAATTATTCACCAGTTAAAACCAGTTAGAATCCTCACATGAAGCTTGTGGTCTTGTTAGAACATTGGTTGATAATGCGTTTTTTTTTTTTCCCTGTTATTTTTCAGTTGTCACCTTTGAGATTTTATCAGATGACTATTCAAAGGTATGTTTTGTAGCATTGTCTTGTACTTGCTGTGCTCAAGAATTGAGTGAGGATAACTTACTTTTTAAAAATATATTTACTTTTTATTTTTATTTATATGCATGTGTGTGTCTATGTCAGTGAATGCCATGTGTGTGCAGTTGCCCTTGGAGACCAGAAGGGAGCATCAGATCCCCAGGTGATTGTGAGCTGCTGATCTGAACCCAGGTCCTCTGAAAGAGCAGCAAGTGCCCTTAATTGTCTCTCCAGCTCTAGAACTTACTTTTCTAATGTTTTTATGATATTCCCAGTGTTAAATTAAAAATCACTGTGTAATAATAGGCAATATATCATTTTTCTGTTGATTTTTGGCCATGTACATGTATGGTGTGCAATATCTTTTAAAAAGAAAAGAAAAACAACACTGGGAGTGAACTATTGGTCGCCCTAATGTCAAGTTGGTTCTTAGCGTCTCGAGGCCTTACTGACTGGTAGCAGTCACCCTTTGTTAGGTACCTCATAGTCTTGATCTATGGTTCTGATTATCGATGTTAGCCTAGGCATGTTTGCCTTATTTATACAAGATAAGGAAGCCAACAGTTTGTCCAGTTCTTGTAACTCGGCGGGAGGTTGTAGCCTGCTGTGGTGCAGGTCTGAGTAGACTTTTCCTAATACCATTGGTCCGTCTTTGACTTTTCATGGCCACCTTCAGTAGTTTTCAGTTGTTAGGAAAGTGTTTCTCAATTTAAAGTGGAAATGATGGGAAGTACCTTAAGTGTTCACCAGTTAAAAGGATTTCCACAAACAAACCTTTTCATGGCACATGCATCTTGGAACAAAGTTGAAGTTTGTAGCTAACGTGGCTTTCCCTTCTGGCTTTAGTTCCTCCAACTATGAGGCACAGATTATCCTTTTAGCTGTCGTAGCTGTTTATCTAGGATTTTAGTATGGTGATTTTATAACTTACCTTTTCTAGCATTGATAGATATGCATTTAAATGCTATGTTAGCTTTTCATACACATTTCTGTCATATGCTAAATGTACATATGTGTACACACATCTATATATTTGTACAGAGTGAGTGAGGGAGAGATAGAGTTTTTCTTGCTTGGGTAGTTTTAGTGATGATGAAAGTTAAGCAAACAAACCTTGATTGTTTTCTTTTCAGATTGTCTTCTTACATAATGACAGATACATTGAATTTCACTCACAATCAGGCTTTTACTACAAAACCAGAATTCCCAAGTTTGGCCGAGACTTCTCTTACCACTATCCATCCTGTGACTTGTACTTCGTAGGTGCAAGGTACTGATCAGATTATTTTTGCTTTTGCCTTTCTACCTCCCACACAGCTAGCTGGCTTCTCTTCTTAGATTACTTATAGACTTTTTCTACTTAAGTGTTCTTAATAGAAAAAGTAATGTGTCATTACTGTGAAAGGGAATCAGTCTTAGAAAAAGAGATTAACATACATACATACATACATACATACATACATACATGCATACAATAGTCTATATGTTGATACGTAGTTTCAAGTAGGTGGTATTATAATGCCTTTTGTCTTGTTCAGTATCAATGATGAACTTCTCTGTGGGCCATTTTGTCACTAATGGCATATGTAGTTGTAGAGTTAGGCGGCTGGGGCTGGGACTCAGTGGGTGAAGTTCTTTCTTTGCAAGCATGAGGACCTGAGTTAAGGTCCTCAGTATGGCAGTGCAGGCCAGTAACTCCACTGCTGGGCTATGGAAGGAGAGATCTCTTGGAGCTGGGGTTACAGGTGCTTGTGAGCAGTCTGAGAGGTGCTGAGAACTGAACTCGGTTTCCTGCAAGAGACTCAGCTCTTAACCACCAAGATGTGGCAAATTTTGAACAAAGTGTATATATTTAGATTAAGTTTTTATCAGCTTTTCAAAGAGAAGTGATGGCTTGTGAGTAAGAGCTGTGCATGAGCTTCTAAGGTTTATACTTACTCACAGGAAAGTGCTTGTAGCTCACCAGATTCTCTTTATTCCTTGCAGCTCTGAAGTTTATAGATTAAACTTAGAACAAGGACGGTACCTGAATCCTCTCCAGACGGACGCCGCGTGAGTACTCCAGTTCCTCTGCTGCACATATTTTGCCCAGGAGATGGAGCCAGAGGCTCATGTTGTTATCAAATGACCTGGTTGCATTAAACCAGCATCCTGGGCCGTCATCTAAAAGAATATCATTAACTATGCTTTTAATCAGAACTGAAGGTGGTGTTCAGTTTCTTTTCCTAACACTACCATTGCCTGGCCCTGTGATTTCTTGAAAGTTTAAGTTCTATATAAAAAGACTTATAATTTAATTCCAGCACAAAGGAGGCAGAATTGGGTAGATCTCTGAGTTCAAGACCCGCCTGGTCTACATAGCAAGTTTCAGGCCAGCCAGGGCTATAGAGAGAGACCAGGCCAGCCAGGATTTTATAGTCTTAAAACTGTCTTAAAACTGCAACAACAAAACTTCTAACTAATTTTTAAAAGCTCAGTTTATTATTTTTACTTTTAGTATTAAGCTTTCATCCATGACTTGTTTTATGTTACTTTTTTCTTGGGAATTCCTTTTTTTAAGACAGAGTCATTACTGTGTAGCTCTGACTGTCCTATATAGCTCACTATGTAGACCAGGCTGGTCTTAAATGCCAAGAGATCTGCCTGAGTCTCCCTCCCAAGTACTGGGCTCAAAGGTATGCCCTGCCACACTCAATTTGTGAGAATCTTTAAAATTTTATTCTTGATTAGTAGACATTTAAATTTTTAGTTGCTTTTTTTCCCCTTTTGCTACATATTCTAAGCTACGTTTTCCTTTTTAAAAGTGTTTTGGTTATTTTATTGTTTTATACTTTTTCTTTTGCATGTATTTTGCTTTCTGTTTCCTTTTGAGACAGTGTTTCCATGTACCCTGTGCAGCCTGGCATTTAATATAGACCAGCTGGCCTCCAGCTTGTGGTAGTCCTCCTGTTTCGTCTCTTCAGTGCTGAGATGACAGGCATTGACACCATGCTCAGCTACACTTTTATTCAAAAAGAAATTCTTCAGGAGTGACCCTACCTTATAATGATGAGTAGCAGATGCGCAGAAGAGTGGACACACTCATCATGCCGAGTGTTGTGCAGCCCTCCACCTATATCAGCTAACAGGGACAGCAGGGTCTGCCAGGGCTCATACTGTCTCCATTCGCAGAGGGCAGCTGCACTGGGGTAGGTGGCTTGCCTAGAGCCTCCAGCTAGGCAGGCATTTATACATACAGAGCTTCTAACTTTGCCTTATCTCTACAAGAGGATTCTGAAAGGAGAGCATGGAGTGGTAAAAATTCTACGCTGCAAAGATGGTTTTATTCTTCCCTCGTTTAAAGTACTTTATGTTTAAAAACTTTATAATACATTATTGCATAATAAAAATTACCTGCTCTCCAGCTGCTTAATTTCCTGTTCATAACCTCTGTTATTTATTACATATCCCTTATACTCTGGGTGGGACCATTTTGTTCTTTGATTTAATTCTCAAAGTAACCCATTGAGATAGGTCAAAATTCACTCTAGAGAGTAAGAAAATGAGGCTTTGTCTGCACATCCAGGTCTTGAGATTGCCATAGTGATGGCCTGTGTTCTTAAGAATGCTGTTTTGCCTTGGAAGAAAATGGAAGGTCCTTTCTTCTCATGGTGGGATAGTATTTCAGAAGGAGGGCCTCTCATGTCTGGCATGCAGCAGGTAGTGTCTCCCTGGGTATTGGGGCTCTGGTGACTGTGAGCCATGCCTTTAGCTCACCCGTGCCTTGATGCGTTTCATTTGTGGATGAGAGTCTGCACATTTCTGTCCACAGGATTTGGATGTGCTACAGACTTAGCGTGTTCATTGAGTGCCTCTTCCCCTGAACACGATGCTCCCTAATACTTTTTCCTGTGTTTGCATTCCTGTTTAGGGAGAACAATGTTTGCGACATAAATGCAGTGCATGGCTTGTTCGCCACAGGAACAATAGAGGTTAGTGTGTGTTCACACTGAAACAAACGTGTTTCATTTGTTTACAGTTTCAGTTTTTCTTCAGAATGTCTTTTCTTTTTGCATTCATTGTGTGTGCATTCCACACTTGCCCCTGTGCTTATATAGAGATAAGAAGACAACTTGTTGTGGTTGATTCATTTCTTCTGTATGAGTCCTGGGGATTGAAGTCAGGTTGTCAGGCTTGGCAGCAAGTCCCCTTAACCACTGAGCTATTTTTCATTTCAAAAAAGATTTTCTGGGGGCTAGAGAGATGACTCAGCAGTTACAAGTGTATTATTCTCTTGTAGAGGACCTGAGTTTGGTGTCCACCATCCAGGTAGAGCAGCTCACAACAGCCTATGACTTGAATTCCGGGGAAACCTGAGATCATCTTCTGGCCTCTTTGGGCACATGCACCCACAGACTCATACCTATATACAGACATACATATATATATCTAATTAAAACCAGAGGCCTGCCTAGCATTGTGTGACCTAGGTTTGGTCCCTAGTGGTGTGTAAATCCATGAGCCAATAGATAATCAGTCAAACCAATTGATTAATCAATCTTTAGCTTTTAATTTATTTAAGAAAATTACACCTTTAGGCATGTTGAAAACAGTTCAGTGATTGCATCCCACACATTCCTTTTTAAAATAAAAGTTATTTTCTAAAAGGTTTTCTGAGCCATTTGAAAGTAAATCATGAACATTATGACATTTCATGCCTAAATATTTGAGATATAATTTTTAAAAACCAGGACTCAAGCTGAGAATGGTAGATGATATCACAACCCTTGGTAGTAAGTGTTAGAGAGTTAGAAGCTGAAGGCCAGCCTTGTCTATACAGTGAGTGCAAGCTGATCTGGGCTATAAAGGTCTTTGTCTCAAAAAGCCAAAAAATAAGCTGGCCGTGGTGAAGCATGCCTTTAATCCCAATTTGGGAGGCAAAGACAGGCAGATGTTTTGAGTTTGAGGCCAGCCTGGTGTACAGAATTGAGTTCCAGGACAGCCAGGGCTACACAGAGAAATCCTGTCTACAAACAAACAGACAGACAAAAACCTCTAAAACTAAAAAAGTAATACAGATTAAAGCAAAGATTTATCCTGTGGTCTTAGCTACTCTGAAGACTGACACAGGAGGATCACTTGAGTCCAGGAAGTCAAGGTTAGCGTAGATGACAGTGAGGTTCTTATTCAAACACGCTGACAAAACCATAAAGACCTTTTTCATAAATATAAATGTCTTTATTGCTCCTTCCTCCCATAGGAGCCAACTTAAGGGTCATGTGTCTTGTTGGGACTTTTTTCTTTTTCTTTTCTTGGTTATGAAGTAAATCACCTTGTAGTGAAACACACTACACTGCCAGGATTGCAGGCTAAAAGCTAGGCTTTGATTCTGCATGGAACTGGTGGTAGTAAATCTTTTTTTTGGTAAATGTTCGCAAGCTAGCTTGCTTCCTTCCTTCCTTCCTTCCTTCCTTCCTTCCTTCCTTCCTCCCTCCCTCCCTCCTTCCCTCCCTCCCTCCCTTCCTTCCTTCCTTTCTTTTCTTTCTTTCAAAGATTTATTTATTTATTATGCATCTGAGCACACCAACATCGATCTCTTTAGACACACCAGAAGAGGGCACCAGACCTCATTACAGATGGTTAAGAGACACTCTGTGGTTTCTGGGAATTGAACTCACGACCTCTAGAAGAGCTGTCAGGGCTCTTAACCACTGAGCTGTCTCTCCAGCACTTCAAAAATTTTCTAGTTGCAGCTTTTACTTAAATATGTTTTTTTTTTTTCTTCTCTGTTCAGGGTCGAGTGGAATGCTGGGATCCAAGAGTCAGAAAAAGGGTTGGCGTGTTAGACTGTGCATTAAATAGTGTCACAGCAGATTCAGAGTAAGTAGCAATAAATTTACAGTATAACTGTCAATCAACATTCTGATATAAGTCAGTGCCTCAGTATGAAATTAATTGCCAGAGGATGAAACTTTCTGACTCACATCTAAAACTGATGTCGGGGGTTGTTGTCCTATAAAGCTGTGGGCAAGCCAGGGAGATTCCCTCTCCAGGACTGCTCAGAGCAGCGTGGTGTTTTTGGTTTCAGTCCCGTGGGATTGGTGGCTGGGCAGGGCCATTATTCTTAGCAGGCTAGAAGATGTGCTTTGAATGCTATGGTGAAGGAAGCAAGGGGTGATTTGTTTTCTTGCTCTTATTGGTCTAATTCCTATGCTTAAAACATTCAGAGAGTAGTATGTACTTGGAGAGAAACACATGTTACACAAGTAACAGCTTGAATTAAGTAAGAAAAACTCATCTTTGTCATCCACTCACCTGTGTGGGCTGGCACAGGTTAGCACCACTGCCCAGGTTTTTGCTGGGCAGACCACCCTCAGGCAGGTCTTTGTTCCAGGCTTATCTGCTGCAGTCAGTTCAGAAAAGCCTTTCTCTTTCACTGCTTCTCCAGCAATCCACGTGTACTTCAGGGAGAGTTTATACACCATCCCTAGATGTCATATGGGAGGGTGAAGCATCTGATGGTGACAGGCTGCAATGACAGTGAGGATACTTTAAATTATTGCAAAGTTCTGTGTGATTTCCTTTAGGGTGGAGATTCATAGCTCCTTTGAAAAGATGTCTATATGGAGCATCTTTGATTTAAAAAAAGTTAAGAATGACTTAGTTAGCTGATGCAGCTCAATAGGAGAGTTTCCTGAGGCGTATGCAAGGCTGCAGGGTCAATCTTCGGTACCACAGGAGCAAGCAATTCAATGTAAAACAAACTAAGAATGACAGAATTAGAAAGATACATCTTGCTGGGAGGTGGTGGCGCACGCCTTTAATACCAGCACTTGGGAGGCAGAGGCAGGTGGATTTCTGAGTTCCAGAGTTCAAGGCTAGCCTGGTCTACAGAATGAGTTCCAGGACAGCCAGGGCTACACAGAGAAACCCTGTCTCGAAAAACCAAAAAAAAAGAAAAAAAAGAAAGAAAGATACATCTTTCTAATATATAAATCTTACTCTGTTAAGAAGTAAACTTGTGTGTATGTTTGTTTTAAACTGATACATTTAAAGTGACAATGGAAACATTTTTCTTGATTACTATTGGGGTTTATTTTAAAATGATAATCAACTTCACTAATCATGACATGGTGTAGAGAATATTAAGCAATTTTAAACCAAGAAGTTCACTTCTACATAGAATAAACTAAAGCCAAGATGAATGCTAAGGGTTTTGTTTTGTTTTGTTTTGTTTTGTTTTGTTTTGCTTTTGCATAAGGTGCATGCCTGTGCATGAGTCAGATGCCTAAACAGGCCAGAAGAGGGCACTGCATCCCCTCGAGCCACAGTGTGAGGTACAGGCAGTTGTGAGCCCCAGTATGGGTGCTGGAAACCAAATTCTGATCCCCTCAGAGCAGTTTGTGCTTTCCTTCAGAGCCAGCTCTTCAGTTGCCACATTGTTTTAACCCATCAGTGTTAAAAAAAAAAAAAAGAAGAACAAGAAAAATTAGTGTACTTAGGAAATCTAATACTAAGAAAATAATACTAAGCAAACTTGTTATATTAAAGATATCTACTCATTCTGTTGAAAACAGAGAGATTAATTTTCTCTCAAGCATTGACTTGTCTTTGAATTATGTCCAGATGTGTGCTCTGTGTTCATTGTGCCCTTAGCATCACCGCCTGGCCTTGTTTCTCTTTGTTGTTTCTTGTTTTTTGTTTGTTTGGTTGGTTTTTGTTTTTTGTGAAACAGTCTCACTCCAGCCCTGCCTGGCCTAGAACTCTGTACACTGTACTGGCCTCAAATCACAAAGATACACCTGCTTCTACCTCCTAAGTGCTTGGATCAAAGGCATGTGTGCCTGATGACTTGAGTTCAGTCTCTGGAGCTCCCAAAGGTGAAAGGTCCTCTGTCCTCAGGGTACACCCTGCATGTGTTCACACAGTTCTTTTTGTTTTGTTTTATTTTAAAGCAAAGGCTATTTCAAGTAGAAGTGCAGTAATTGCAGGAGATGTGATGCTACACAATCTAAGGAAAAGTACAGAAAAAAAATCTTAACTTTGGTCTTTAGAAATATGGAAGTACTTTTTTTGTTTATGATTTTTTTTTTTCCTGTGTATCCCTGGCTGTCCTCCAACTCACTGTGTAGACCAGGCTGGCCTTGAGTTGGGAGATCGCCTGTCTCTGCCCACCAAGTGCTGGGATTAAAGGTGTGCACCACCATATGTATCTAGTTGAAATACTAAATGAAAATTAATTCACATTTTGTACTGAATTTTTTTGTTCTTTAGGGGTAAGGGATTTTAGCTGTTATGATATAATATTTTGAAAATAATTATACTTAGTGTAACAAAAGATGCTAAGCAGTTTCTGAAACAGAACAGCAGAGGCCCGCCTGATGTATAGCAGAATTTGGCCAACAAGAGCCTCCAGGAGTATATTCAATGTTTGCAGTTCAGTGACTATTTCCCAAGCATCTAGAACCTTCGTTTCTAGGGTTCGTGCTAAATTGTTTTACAGAAAACCTAATAAAATGTAAGCAAGCGTCCACTACCTTATTGAGTGAGCACTGTCTCCCTGTCCTCAACTAAGGCTCTTCCCTAGCAGGTCCTCACTATTCGTTCCTCCCCCTTTCTTTTCAGTTTATTGCACTTGTTTGTTTGATCAGTTAATTGATTTTCATGGGCAGGACACACTCATGCACCTTCATGTATGTAGGGTCAGAGCACAGCTTTGAGAGGTCTCTTCTTTCCTTCTACCTGTGGGTGCGGGCTATAATTCCTGGGTATAAGGGAATCTCCTGAGTATCTGGTACATAGTAGACACACAGACATGCCACCAAGTTTATTGTTATTAGAAAGAACAGAGGTAGCAGTTAACTAAAGCTACTTGACTACTTAACAGATAGTGAGTAGCTTCAGGCTGCCCTCAAACTCACTGGGTGGCTTAGAATGGCCTTGAACTCCTAATGCTTTTTTTCCCAAATGCTGGAATTATACCACCCCATCCCTACCTTAGTACTTGATATTTACCAGAGACTTTGGTGAGCTCCTTATGTACAGAAACTGATGTTTTGTTAGGTACTTTAATTTGATGTGTTTTGTAAAAGAAAACTCTCCATCAGTGACATACTCAGTGTTCAGCTCTTAAGAATTATATTTCAGGAGTATGTTTGTGAAAGGAAGGGTATATAAATATACATTTTTAGGTATACCTTTCAGTGAGAACAGTTGTCATAGAGTTTTTACATTTTTATAACATTTTTGTAAAAGGATAATGACCATATATATTTATTGTCATGGGGAAAATATCCAGAGGCATACCAAAATGTTAAATATTGGAGTTTTCTTCCTGTTGGTTCAGTTTCAAGTGATCTTATTGTATTTTACTTTTTTTAAGATTTATTTATTTTTAATTACGTGTGTCTATTTGTATCTGCACATAAGTGCAGGTACCCATAAATCCCAGATGGTGTTGAGTCATCTAAAACTGGAGTTATGGATAGGTTCTGGGAAATCAAACCCTAGTCCTCTAAAAGAGCAGCCAGTGTTCTTAACTTGTGAACCATCTCCCTAGCCCCTGAATTTGTTTCTTAATTTAGCTTTAGCCTGTCACTTGTGTTATTTAGTAAATTCCAGAAGATGGAGGAGTTAGAAATACTGGCTAGAGGAGGCTGTCGTTTTTTCCCGTGACTGACTGTCTGCCTGAGTTAGTCAGCTGTGGCACCTGGGAACCAGGAAGAACCAATAGCAGAGTTACATAGACTGGTTAGGAAATAAATGTGCAGAAGTCAGTGAATTTGGTATCTATTAGCAAGTCCCAGGAGGAGGAGGAGGAGGAGGAGGCAGCAGACCAAAGTTCTCATAACATAAACTATAACTATTGAAGGATTTATTTACCTGTCTGAAGAAAATGATAAAATTGCATTATGAAATAAGCCTCAGAGGAGTAGGAAAATAAGTCAGTGTGAAATGTTATTCTAGAGTTCATTTTGAAGAGTGGGTGATGGTGCCTTTGAGGAGCAGCGGCCTCCTTTCCAGCCACTGCTCAGTGTAGCTCCAGGCTAAGGCTGTAGGTGGCAGGAGAGGCTTGATAGTGCTCAGGGCATGGTCTGGCCTGGGCTCAGGGTAGTAGCAAGTGGCCCATAAGGATTGGAAGCAGAGATGTTGTCCACTTCTTTTTGTGGGATATGATCTCACTATGTAGCCGTACCTCAGCCTCCTGAGTGCTGGGATTGCAGGCATGTATCAGCATAGCCAGCTTTGGTCTACTTCTGACCTAATCTCTTTTTTTTTCCACCTCAATCTTTTGGTGCTAGTGTTTAGCTGGTGCTTGAGAAGCATGTTCTAGAATTGTTCCTGTATCTTTTGTTCTTCAGTACTGTAGATATTTAGGTCTTTTATTTTAGATGAATGAAGTTGATCTATTTTATTTTTAAAACAATTTTAAATTATGAGTATGTGTGTGTATGTGCCCATGAGTACAGATGCCTGCAGAGAGCAGAGGTGTCAGATCCCCTGAGCTGGAGTTATAGGTGGTTGTGAGCCACTTGATTTGGATACTGGGACTTGAATTTGAGTTCTTTGCAAAAGCAGTACATGTTCTTAACTGCTGAGCTATCTCTCCTGCCTCAATGAAATTGATTTTACATCAGAAGTAAGTATACCCACCCATATCCCAAGGTAAATTGTTTTTCTGAGTAATGATAGGGAGGTTTTGGGGCTGGGAAGAAGGCTCATTCAATAAAGTGCTAGCTGTGCAAGACATGACTTAGTTTAGATCACCGGCATCCATGTCAACCAGTCACTAATCCCAGATCTGCAGAGAGGCACACACACACACACATCCTGTAGAAATTTCTGAAAACAGTGTGTTTTCATAACATTTCAGAACAGCATTCTATTGTCTGACTAGAATGGAAGATGAAGGTGGGTGATGGGATTACATTTGTATGGGAAGTATCTTTTTCATTATGAAAGTTTGGATGCAGTTAGACTGTAAACAAATAGCTGGTAATGAGTTTCCTTGTTAGATTTGAAGTGGAGATAAATGATGACCCTGTTACTTAGTCACAGAGAACAAATGTTTGCTTTTCAGGATAAACAGCTTACCCACCATCTCTGCATTGAAGTTTAATGGAGCCTTGAGCATGGCTGTTGGAACATCCACAGGGCAGGTAAATGTCGTATGTGAGCATGTGAGCCAGTATCTTAGATGTGTATTGAAAGGCACTTGGGACAGTGCGTGAGGCTGTTCTCTCTTGGCTGGAGTGGAGAGGGTGCTCCAGAATACTAGAACAGTATTTTTTAGCATGTGTGGCCCAATTTGGAATTCTATCAGCTTTCAACTCTTAGTCACAGTGGATTTAAGTACATATTTTGAAGACTCTGGGAATCCTGCAAGTAAGAGTTGTGTTCAGTAAACATTTCCAAGACATGTGTATGCTAGGAGCCTTTTTTTTTCTTTTGAGATAGGGTCTTGACATACAATGTTAGCTGGCCTAGAATTCTGTGTAGAAGAGGCTAACCTTGAACTCATAGAGATCTACCTGTCTCTGCCTCCTAAAGGTGTGTGCCACCACGCTCAAGGTCACTTGTTGCAGCAGCCTAAGTCACAGGTCACAGATTTGCTAATGAGCAAGTGAAACATTCTTATTAACATTCGTTCCTTTCTTAGTATAGATCAGTAATTGTCAAATTAGTAAATCTAAAAACTACTGCCAGCGTTAAAGTTGTAAAACTGTTCCAAGAGCTGACTTTAGTGTTAGGCTCTGACTGAATTTGTTTGTCATGTTCATAGAAGGTTATGAAATAGGTGGCAGTCATTATTCCAACTTTTTTATTTTTCTTTTCTTCATGTGTATGTCTGTGTGTAAGGAGGGGAGGGGTCTCCTATCTCCCACGATAGCTTCATACTTCATATGTAGCCAAGAATGACTTTGAATTTCTGATTTTCTTGCCTCCATATCCCAAGTGCTCAGACTACTGGCATGTGCCACCGTGGCTGTTTTGCCGGGCTGGGGAATGAACTTGTGGGTGTTGGGTCAGCACTCTAGTGACTGAGCTGCCTCTCCAGCTCCCATTACACTGCGTATTCAATGTGTTGTTTGGAAATGGCTTGTCTGACTAGAACTGTTTTCTCTTTTAGGTGTTGTTATATGATCTTCGCTCAGATAAGCCATTGCTAGTTAAGGATCACCAGTACGGGCTGCCCATCAAGTCAGTGCATTTCCAGGAGTCACTGGATTTGGTTTTGTCTGCAGACTCCAGAATTGTCAAAATGTGGAACAAGGACTCTGTACGTACTTTCTGCTGCAGTTGCTCCCTGGTTTTCTTGCCTGTTCCCAGTGCTTCTTTTTCCATGTGCTTTGGAGGCTTCTGTGGGTCTTTGAGAAGGGGGTGCTGAGTAGCCATCTGGGAACCAGCAGGTCAGTCACTTTAGGTCTGTGTTTGGGTAAAGCTGACATGCCTCCAGTTAAGGAGCATCCTGATTTGTGTGCACTTGTGCACGAGGAGGGATGAACTCAGGTCATCAGGCTGGCGGTGAGGGGTTTAACCCCCTGAGGCTTGTTGCCACCCCAGCACACATTTTATTGGACATGTGTTAGATGGAGAGGAAAGTCTCTGTGAAACACAATCTGCCTCTGAAGAGCCTTTCGGTCCTGCCCCCACCATCTTGATTTTATTTTATTACCACTGCCCGTGAGGATGGCTATGTGCTGTAACACACATGGAGGTCAGAGGACAACGTGGATATTATTCTTCCACTGTGGGATCCAGGATTGAATTCAGGCTGCACAGCAAATGCTTTCACCTGCTGAGCCAGCTGGCCGGCTCCATCCTGAAACCTTTCAGCTCACTGACTACCCCAGCAAAGTTCTGGGAGCTGCTGATCTTCTTCCTTTCCAGAGTCAGTGCATGTCCCGGGTTCATACCCTGTCCTCATCTCAAACAAGCAGGGTCTAGAAATAGAAAGTACTTTTGAAGTAATTTTGTATATTGGTCAATCTGTCTGTCTTTCTTTGTTGGTATTTCTATGGATTGAACCCAGGTCCTTGTGTGTGCTTAGCCAGTGCTGTACCACTGGGTTCCATCCTTAGTGGTCTTTGTATTTTTTACTTCAAGAGAGGGCTTCAGTAAGTTGCCCAAGTTGGCCTTGAACTCACTCTACCCTAGGCAGACCTTCAGCTTGTGATCTCCCTGCCTCAGTCTCCCAGTTGGTAGTATTACATGTCTGTGCTTCGAGGCCTGGCTAGCTTTCTTTCTTTTCTTTCTTTTTTTTTTTTTTTCAAGTAGTGTTTTCTTAGGAATATTTTAGTATTTCCTCTAAACTTCAAATGTTATTTTAAAAGTAACATAGTTCTGTATTGCTGATTTTAATCTGCCTTCTACTTTTACTTCATTTATTTAAAGGTTTTTTTTAAAGATTTATTTATTTATTTATTTATTTATTTACTTTATTTATATGAGTATACTGTAGCTGTCTTTAGACACACCAGAAGAGGGATTCCATTACAGTTGATTGTGAGCCACGATGTGATTGCTGGGAATTGAACTCAGGACTTCTGGAAGAGCAGCTAGTGCTCTTAACCACTGAGCCATCTCTCCATCCTTCCCCTCCACCATACCCCCATCCCACCTCCCAATTTTTTTTAAGACAGGGTATCAGGATAACATCAGATTTGCTGTGGGTTCCACCATGCCTAGGCTGATTTTTTTCATTTTTAAAATCTAAGTATTAGCTGGATGTGATGGTTCATGCCTGTCATCTTAGTACTTAGGAGCAGAGATAGGAAGATCAATTCAAGTTCAAGGCTAGCCTGGGTTACAGTAAGATTTGTCTCAAAACCATTTTGAGAGGACTGAAGGTAACTTCATTACATCAGTAAAATAAATTTAGTACAGCAATTACTTCTCTTAATCTCTTTTAAAAATGAAAAAAAAAAACAGTTTTATTCATGTGCATATGTGCATCTGTGTGTCTGCCACATTGTTCAGGTGACTTCTTGGAGCAGGGATTATAGGCACTTTGTGAATTGCCTTAACTAGGGTGGTGGGAACTGAACTCAGGTCCTTTGGAAGAGCAATAAGTGCTTTTAACTGCTGAGCCATCTCTTCAGCCTTACAGACTCCTAATAATTCTGATTTCAATATGTACATTAATTCTATAGGCTAAAGAGTTAACTTAAAAACTACGCTGAGATGATGCTAGGCAGAAGGCCTGTGCCCTCGCACTCACTGCCTGGAGTGGGTACTGGGTTCTATAGGCACCTGTTGTGTTTGGTATAAGGATACTGGTCAGTCAGGCACAGTCCAGCTACCTGTCATTCTGGCTTTTTCTAGCCAGGACATTTGAGGTTTTTTAATTTTGCATTTTGGGGCTAGAGAGGCTCAGTGGTTGAGAGCATTGATTGCTCTTCCAGGACCCAGGTTCAATTCTCAGCACCTACATGGCAGCTCACAACCTTCTGTAACTCCAGTCTCAGAGGATCAGACCCCCTCTTCTAGCCTTTCCAGGCGCTGTATGCATATGTTGCATAGCCATACAACATATTCAGGCTAACACTAATATACATAAAATAAAAATAAGTTCTCAAGATTTTATTTCTAAGTATTGCATTTTTTTAATCTCTGGAAGTGGTGACCTTACTTTATTCCTCTGGCTCTGTCTTGGTGTTCATAGCCTTCCTTGAGATATAGCCATTCCAGTTACTGTTTAACTTAGCAGCTGATGACTAGCTCAAGGTGTTCCTAAATTCTTGGAAACACCGCCCTGATGCTTGCAGGGGTTAAACTTTCTTCTTGGTAGGCTTTGAGTTTGGGGCTTTTGAAGGCTCCTGGGAGACTTTTCATATCTTAGACCAATAATTTTTCTGGCAAACCTACCTAATTGATAGAAAAACACTATTTACCTATGCAGGGTGTACTTACCTATAATTTCCACACTTAAGAGGCTGACTGAGGCAGGAGGACCAAGAGTTTGAGGCCAGCTTGGACTATGCAGTGAGACTCTGGATCAAAATAATAATAACAACAACAAGTGGTCTTCCTGATTGTTTTTCATTGTATAAGAACATACACTGTGTTTATTTAGAGATAGTTTCACTGTGTAGATAAGGCTTACATGGAACTCACTATGGAACTCACACAGGCCTCAAACTCACCATCCTACCCCCTCTTTCTGAGTGCTGGGATTATACTTGTGTGCTACCACATTGCCTCTTATTTCCAAGAACTCCCAAGATACTATTAAGAAGGTGTTCATTTGTCCTGGCTCCCATCCTACCAAAGCCAGTGACTAGTTCCATTTAGATGTGTCCTTCCAGACCCCTTACTGCTATGTTTCCTATGTTCTGGTTTTCTGGCACCAATGGCCCCTTTCATCTCTATTGAACTGTGCTGTCATAGTTCTTGTTCTCTTCTTTTCCTTGCTGTTTCCTTCTCACTTCAGTGGGAGATAGCTAGGTGAGTTTCATGGTTTGTGCTGAATGAGAACTTGCCTACTGATTTTCATCAACCACAAAATAACCATCTTGCCTGGGCTTCAGCTCCACCCACTTCTGCCCTGGGAGCACCACATCCTGGTGTCAGTCTTCTGGTAATGACTTATCGCTGCAAGAGCTGGTAGAACTTGTCAGCATCCCCATTTGAAGACATCACGCTGTAATTACAGCAATCAATTTCATTTTGGTACTTTTTGTTTCTTAAGACTAAATGCTTCCTCTTGACTAACAGATTACCTGGCTTTGTGTGACCTGCTTTCCTTGTTTCTCTTTCTCCTTGTCTTTTTCCACTCCTGCCTACTTCTGAGCCTTCTTCTTAGTTTTCAGTAGTACAGTAGATGTCTCCCCATACTTAAAGTGGAATGTTAGAGCCTTCACAGTACAGTGACTGATGCTCTGGTCTCACAGGATTCCAGGTTGTACTTTGTTGTCTCTTTGGGGTTTGGTGCAGCTGCGCAGCTTCCCTCTAACTCTGACGTCACCCTACTGTGCCCTGGCACCTCTGATGCTTTGAGTCTTCTGTTTTGTTTTGAACAGGTCAACAGTTTCTTCATTTCTAAAACAAGAATATTTGATATGCTGATAAGACAAATAAGATTTTTGAGTATGAGTTCTTTCCATTAGGTTCTTTCCTTTATGTGACACTATCTGGGTTGTGTCTCCATTTTATTTTCTCTGTGTGCCATTGCTGAAAGCTGTCTTTGATGATTTCAGTAATTTACTCTTTGCTTACTGTTTTAGGGGAAAATATTTACTTCGTTGGAGCCGGAACATGACCTTAATGATGTTTGCCTCTATCCCAGCTCAGGTAGGCTCATAATCCTGCCCTGGAGTTTTAAACTGTATTTACTTCATAAGATAACACTTGGATTGGATAGCACAGTTCTTGAGTTTTTCATCCACTTGGAAGAAGAAAGAACAGGAAGTGGTATGGATGATTCAGAATGGTGCTCTCATGACTCAGTGCTCAGCCCGCCTAGCTATTAGTAGAAACTAGTAACAAATGGAGGCAGGCAGCAGGTGAAGTGCTATTTTGGTGTATTCTTTTATGTGATTAGTAATGGCATGTGGAAATTGAGGTTAGAGATTTGAAGGAAGATGGAGTCACCTGGTAATAAAGGTTTGGGGCTACTCTGCATCAAGTACTGTTCAGCAAATTATATGATAGGTTTCGAAATTCAGCAGTACCTTCAGGGCAGATCTCAAACGGGGTCTGAGGAAAGAATAAGAGAACTCTCCCACTCAAGCCAAGTCCTCTGAGGACAACACACTCAGTAATTCTGCTCACAGGTATAGAGGAAAACCTGAAGTGTCCTACTGTATATATACAGACAGTACTGTGCCAGTGTTGGCAGTGGGGCAGAGGAGCAGGGGAGACTTTCAGGGTCTTATGCGGAGGGCAGTCATTGAATAGGATTAGAATGGCTTTGTGGGTAAGTGATTCACCAAGAAGACAACGTCAGAAGAGTAACGGGGTGGTAGGAGGGCTGAAGTGAAAGAACAGGTGGTGCAGGTGGTCACCTGATCAGCTGAGCTCCATCTGTCACCAGAGAGCCTACACAGATAAAGAGTGGGCCATCTTAGAACTGCAGTACCTACGAAGTAGTGTCCTGAGTTGAGGAAGCCATGTGTGTTTCTAGCATTTAAGCATTAGGCAGTGACGAGGGGTAGTGATTGCTTGCTAGAGATCAACACCTGGAACACCATAGCATATGTGTCTGGGTAAGCAGGTGAGTATGTTCTTAAGTACAGACTGATCATGGAAGGAGCCAGAGTGGGTGTAAACACCCAAGGGGACATGTGAGACTGGAAATAGTAGGAGCCATTCCATTTAGGGCAATAGGGAGAAGAGTGAATGGAGAGCCTTCACAGGATTGGATACGGCAGTATCAAAGGACCAGGCATTACTGGTAGAACCTGAGACAGAGCTTGTGGCTTTGTAGCTGGGGCCTGGAAGAAAGAGCAGACTCACTCACTGCTTTGAGTATGAGTAAGAAATCCAAGCCTATCACTTACCGTATTATAACCCTGTATAGTCAGTGGCCCACAATTTGTTCTTTCTACCTGGCTTTTGGATTTATTTATTTATTCTTTTTTTGTTTGTTTGTTTGTTTGTTTTTTTGAGACAGGGTTTCTCTGTGTAGTCCTGGCTGTCCTGGAACTCACTCTATAGACCACCAGGCTGGCCTCGAACTCAGAAATCTGCCTGCCTCTGCCTCCCAAGTTCTGGGATTAAATTTATTGAGATTCTCCCTATGCACCTAGACCTACATATGCATACACACACACACTCTGCATTCCCTCTTTCTTACTGTGTTGTTAACTTCTATAAGGTCAAGCCAGTCTTCTGGTAGAGTGTCTGTCTCTTGAATATATGTGATTGTTCCTCCTGGTGTCACTTACCTTGTTTTCTAGCCTATGCTGAATCTAAAGTAGCAGTGAAGGATTGATTGAATTTAGCAGTGAGGTCCCCCAACTTGATAGAATTTAGTCAGGTCTACATGCTTGATGAAGTGTGTTTGGGTTTAGGGATCATGGACAAGCTGGGTGTGGCCTTTAAACACAGCACTTGGGAGGCAGAGGTATGTTGCAGAATATTTGATCACACTATGAACCCTGAGAGTGTGATATTTACTGAAAACTTGTAGTTGTTGTGTGGCTCAGCTCTTAGCACACACCTTTAATCCTAAACAATGAAGGTAAAGTTAGTTTGTAGAAGGAAACACCCACAGTTGAAAGTGATGTCTAATTGATTGGCAGACAAAGTGACGAATCAGAGGAAGAGTTGATAGAATAGGATATGCCCAACTCTCATGAGAAAAGGAAGGAAAGGGAAGCTACTTAAGAGAGAGTGCAGAGAGAGAAGGCAGGCAGTTTTACTGGCAGAGTAATAAACAGGTTGCAGAGAGAACCAGAAGATAAGAACATATTGCCAAAGTTAGTATGTGATCAAGCAGAGCAATTTAGTAAGAAGTTGAGAGAAGTTAGATTGATCAGTCAGGTTGAAGAAGAGTTGATCCAGAGCAGCTGAGTAGGACCAGCCAGTGAGAGATCAGAAGGAACTAGAAAGGGTGAGCTTATTCAGCAGCAAGTCTCAGAGGCTGAAACAGTCTAGGCCTAGATTGTACATAGGCTAAAAGCTTCCAGGACTAGGTTAGCACACGGAGGCAGTAAGCCTCCAAGACGACAGTTACACCAGGAAAATAAAAATTACTTCTACAGAGGTCGAGAAATCTCTTGAGTTTGAGGCCAGCCTGGTCTACAGACCTAGTTCTAGGACAGCCGTGCCTACACAGAGAAACCTTGTATTTTGGGGAAAAAAAATCATGGACACACCTCAAGCCAAACTGCAGGCCCTGGATGTCAGGTCTCATTCCAGCAGATCACTGGTGTGGGGAGGATAAAGTTGGTTCAGTGTGTTCAGGAATCCTTTACCATGTGTGGTTTGGACAAGGAATGGCTTTTTCTGTCAAATGACTTAGAGGAGTATGCCAGCTAAGCCAATAATTGTTTCACAAGACGGTGATGTAGTGTGTGCTGGCCTTGCCGGTTGGCTTGGGCTCCTTGCTGTGCTCAGAGGTTGTGCTCTGCGCTGGCTTTACCTTAGCCGTCATCCCTTCACTCTGTGCTTTGTCTTCATCACCGTGTGCTTAATCATAGTTTAGAGAAGGTAAAACCTCCTTTTTTCACACACATTTCTGGAGTCATTTAGACCTAATCATGACACTTATTTAATAATGGTTTCTTTGTATTTGCAAGGCAGCTCAGAGTATTGAGAAGTGATTTTGCCTTCCTGGCCCTTACCTGACTGCTCAGGCAGCTCTTTGCACAGCTTCCAGACAGGGAGCAGCCATTCTGCAGGTCAGGGCACTGTGAGAGGCAGCACGGCTCTGGGACCCAGTGTGCACGACATGATGACACAGGAAGCATGTAAAGATGATACATGTGTTGGGTCCCACCCCAGCCTGTTAAAGCAGGACCAGAGGTCCAGAGCCATGGCAAAAAGGGAAGAAGGCGGGCTTTGGACTTGAAAAAGTCTTGCTTCAGGCTCACTTACGCCCAGTATGGCCCTCAGCTTTCTCACCCACCACAGAGAGCTGCAAGAGACCAGCTGGCCTGTGGAAAATGCTGTAGCTCTTGTCTCCATCAGCATCCTCCAACAGGATGGCGTGAGGAACAACCCTGGGGCATTTGCACATAGTACTCACTAAGAGGAGTTTCTGCTCCACGTGTCAGTGAGAAGCTGAAGATGAGGCAGATGTGTCCCTGCTGCCCCTCTTCCCAGAATGTCTGCCTTGAGCCATCCAGAGTGCCACTGAAGCTGTGTATTCTAGTGTGGGGCTTTTTAGACATAGTTGGCCAGCCACCTGCCTACTGTTTTTTTTTTTTTTTAAATCCCTGTGCTTTTAGCCTTCTGACCCTTTGCAAATTGACAACTTTGGTAAACTACAGTAAAGATGACTAGTTAGCGAAGCAAGCACGCATTGGGATAACACTGCCTGTGGTTTTGTTTTGTCCTTTCTTGACACTGCTATGTTGTGCTGCCTACAAGCTTTAAGTTCCAGTCTGTACTTTGATCCCCCAGCTCGGTAGCAGGTTGCAGATGCCCATGGAGCTCCCCCTGAGCAGACCTTCCATAAACAGTTTCTGATTCTGTGTTTTGGGTGTTGGTGAGCCTTTCCATGACATACTCCCAGATGAGTTCTGATATGGGTATGTGTCCCAGTAGGGCACTGCTTTGTCATTGTCACCACTTACATTGGGGGAGAGTGTCTTTGACTCCAGTTACTGGGCTCTTTTCCTTCCCTGAACAGTTTTGTTTCTCTTAGGAACAATGAGCAGTAGCATTTTGAGAAACTGAGTAGAAATGCTGTCCATAATGCCAGTCTCCTCAAAAAGCCACTATTGCTCATTAGAGAAGATGGCTATATTAACTCCATAGTCTTAGATTTAAGTGGCCTTTGTGCTGCTCTTGGAGTCGCCTTTGCTATTTGGTTTGACATTATGTTAGAAGCAGTAAAAAGGCGAGCCAGTAGATCCCATGTAGATGGTGGGATTCTTTTTCATTTTGTTGGGTGGTATTTAGACTACTTAGTGGTTTATTTAATAACATAAGAAGCTTTTCATTTTATCTGTTTTGAGTTGAGTTTTTATGCTCCAAATTATATGGGGCCAGTGATGTTTATTTTGAAGGGTGCCATGCTTGCTGAGATCAGATACAAGCTTATAAAGGATCCTGCATTACCTTGTAAAGGGTCAGGGAGATGTCAGCTGACTTTGTGTGTAGTCACGAGAGGTTTGGCTGTAGAATATCTTGCTCCCTTGAGGTGCTTCAGAAAACTTGGGGATACTTGCTGACAATTGAACCATCTAACACTTGATAGGAAGTAGCTAAATGCCAACAAATTATGGATTTCTGGGTTTCTGTGATATAGGAGCTTCTCTATTAAATGACAGAGTTGCCCTCCAGCCTGGTTTTGCTTTCTTGGCATGTGGATGCCACAGAGGCTAAAATTAATTTCTCTTTTTAGTTAACTAAAGTTAACCAAAATTAATTTCTCTAGTGGCCATTCTTTTAAAATTCCCTAAAATGATCATGGCACTCTTAAGGGCTGTTTAGTGATATATAGGTCTTAAAAATATTTTATGTGTGTGAATGTTTTGCCAAAATGTATCTATATGCACAACATGTACTTTTGGTGCCTATGGTGGTCAGGAGAGGGCATCAGATTTCCTGGAGCTGGAGTTACAGATCATTGTGGACCATCATGTGTGTGCTGGGAACTGAATCTGGCTCCTCACAAGAGCAACAAGTGCTTTTAGCCACTGAACCATCTCTCCAACCCTGACAGGTCTTTTGGGAGAAGTTCTATATAACACTCCTATAATTGTTTTGGTCTTCAATTGGCTGTGAAGTTTAATGAAGAAATTCTGATTCCAAGAGGGGAGCCTTTCTCTCCATTATTATTCTCAGACTGTACATCTTATTTGTGAAGCTGGAACCTCCCCAGACCTAGTGTAGAGCCGAGTGCCTCTGGAGCTTTAGCTCGTTATGCCAGGGAGTTCACAGACAGGGTCAGCACTCCTACAGCTGAGGTCTCCTGCCTAGAAAGGCAAGACTGACTAAAGGACAACTCGAGCATTTTACAGTTTGTAGAGATGGGTACTTCTTGTCACTGGTTTAACTTGTTCATTGTATTTATTTTTAGGAATGCTTCTCACTGCCAATGAGTCTCCCAAGATGGGCATTTACTACATTCCGGTAAGAGCCATCAGGAGCAGGCACAGAGAGTTTTTGTGTTTGAACTGATAGTGTTAACAGCCTTTGGGCTCTGTGGTTTTGCTGCACTGTAGATTCACTGTGGCTATAGTGTGCTCTGTGGCCCAGTAGAGTAATATCTCAGTCTTCTGTTGGCCAATTGTTTTGTGCTGTTTAGCGTAGGCTTGAAATCTAGTAGTCTTCAGATATGCTTTGTTGTTTGTTTTGCTGGGAAGTATTTCAGAATCTAGAACTTAAAGCTGTTGACTAAGTAGATGTCTAAATCAAAACTAAGAGTCTAGAGCACTGGTTCTCAACTTTCCTAATGCTATGACCCTTTACTATAGTTCCTCATGTGATGGTGACCCCCAGCCATACAATTATTTTTGTCACTACTTCATAACTATAATTTTATACTGTTGGCGTAATGTAAGTATCTGATATGCAGCCCCTGTGAAAAGGTTGTTCAACCCCCAAAGGAGCTGAGACCCACAGATTGAGAGCTACTGGTCTAGTGTTCTTCTAGTCACCTCACTGTAGCTTTGCATCTTTTAGAAATAAGTTGCACACTCAAGAAGCCAGATCCTCAGGATTATCAGTGATGACGTATAGTTTAGATTATCTTATTGTCATTCTTAAAGAATTGTTCTTCTACACCAGGAGCGTCCATGTTTACCTTTTGGTCTATAGGCGAGAAACAGTGATGTATCCTGTTAGTCAGTAAGGCAGCCTTCATGTAGAGCTGGTACACGTGATGGGTGTTACCATTGGAGAACTTGAGAGCAGTGGCCTCTCTGCTGCCCTCCATTATGGAAGTCTTCATTGGAGTAGCTTGGCTGTCTGTGGATTGTTTTTCACTGGCCTCCACCTGCTACTGAGTTTCTGTCGTCTTAGGAAGCTGATGCTGCAGCACTCTGTAGTGTTTGTTCTGAGTGATAATAAAGTGAAGGCTGTTCAAACAGGAAGCTGCTGTTCTCCTGTATTGTTATATGCTCCTCTTCCCAGCCTCACGGATGCCGGTTCACCCATCTTCCCATGTTTGTGGCTTAATAGGTATTTGTTTATTGCATCAGCTGTGTCAGGCACCATGCTGGATGCCTGCAGCACACAGTGCATATAGTGCATTACAATTGTTCCCTCCTCAGGGTTACAACAGGAAGAAAGGTGGCTTCAGGTCTGCACCATGAGCTGTAGGAGGAGGGCTCTTTGAGAGTACCTGGGAGGAGACCCTTCCTGCAGAGTGGACTAGGTGCCTGTGAGAAACTCAGTAAACTGCCCAGAGTAACTTCAGGGAGAGACTGGAGCTTGAGTCTGTAGACTAGATGTAGGGTCGGGGTGAGCCACAGAATGGGAGTAGCGTCTCTGCAGCAGGAGAGTGCCTGTGGAGAGAGCTCAGGGAGAGGATCTCATGGAGCAGAGCAAGTGCCACATTGGGAAGGGTCTGTAAGTGTGTGTGCTAGGGGTGCATGCGGAGCCTGGCACATCATGGGCAGCAAAGGGAAGAAGCCAGGGTTGCCCTTTGGAAATGTTGTTTGTCTCTACAAAGAAAATGACATGGGATCTAAGCTGGAAACAGCCGGGACAGGCTGTGGCAGTCCCTATGAGGGAAGGCAGTGCTGGGCTGTTTTTTTTTTTTTTCAGCATCTGGACTTTGGTAGGTCCTGGGACTGTTTGAGAAAGAAACAAATCTGTCTTGGAATCAGTATCCACCTGTGGAGATGCATGTGGACCATAAGAAAGTCTTTCCCTCGCTCCCACCTTCCCGTCAGGGGTGGTCACTTCCTTCTCTAGGGCGTACTTACTGTGCAGCTATGCCAGTACCACATCAAGAGGGAGGCTCCAGAGTGCAGGCTGATATCACAGCAGACGGTACAGGCCAAGAGCCCCGTGTGCCATGTGGCACAGAGGAGGCAGGTGTAGGTAGGAGGACAGCTTGGTAATAAGTTTAGATATGGGTTGTGAGGAAGAGGAAAGAAACAAGGGTGACACTGGGTTCTGCCAGGGCACATGCATGCATGCTGATGTCATTCCCAGGAAGAGGTGGGCGAAGAATAAAAATATTTTCCTTTTGATATTTTTTACATTGTGAAATGACCTTTTGCAGAAATGGCACAAATGTTTTAATTACACAAATAATGTATCCATGTTCTTATTTTCAGTATTTCACAAAGTATGAGGGAGGGAAATACATACTCTGCCCCCATAGATGCTGTTAATATTTGGAAACATTGTCTTTTCTGTTACATTGTTAAATATGTGGATTTTATTTTATTTTTTTAACTTTCAGTTTTGCTGTGTGTGTGTGTGTGTGTGTGTGTGTGTGTGTGTGTGTGTGTGTGTGTGAGAGAGAGAGAGAGACAGACAGACAGACAGACAGACAGACAGAGACAGCGTGGGTCTTGCAGCCCAGGTTGGCCAGGGATCTGCTATGTAGTCAAGGATGACCTAGAGCTCTTCTGATCTTGGCTTTGCCTCCAAGGTTGTGAGATAACAAGTGTGCTCTACTGTGAGTGGTGACATGTGTTTTATAAGTAAATTGTATCCAATTCTATAGAATCAATCTTAGGTATATTAACTCCAAAATAGTAAGTCACCTAAAACTAATATTCACAGGCACTGGGCTCAGTACTGAACACTGGAAGGAAAAATAATCACCTAAAATAGCCAGGCACAGTGGGTACACCCATGACTACAGAATTCAGGAGCAGGGGCAGTAGAACAGCCTGGGCTACATAGCAGTCATTTCCACTATATTTCTTCTTTTTTCTTTTTGAGATAGGATCTCACTGTCTGGACAGATTGGCCTAGAACCTGAGCTATGTAGCCTGTGCTGCCTCAAACTCTTCCTTCCTCAGCTCCCTTCCCTCCCCTCCCCTCCCCTCCCCTCCCCTCCCCTCCCCTCCCCTTCCCTTCCCTTCCCTTCTTTTTTGAGTAGTCATGGTGGTTTTGTTTCATTCTTTCTTTCTTTTTTTTGGGTGTTGGTAGTGGTGGCAGTTTTGAGACAGGGTTTCTTTGTGTGTAACCTTGGCTGTCCTGGAACTTACACTAGCCTCGAACTCACAAAGATCTGCCTCCCTCTACCACCCCACCTCCACCCCCCAGTGCTGGGATTAAAGGCATGAGTCACCACTGCCTGGCTCTGCCTAGGCCTTTTACAGTAAGTAGGATTGTAGATGTGTGCCACCTGCTTGGTTTCTCTGTTGTATTTTATTGCTGGGCATGTGTGGGCTATTTTAAAATTGAGGAGACTTCTTATTCACATGTAGTTCTTTGGTTCTGTTTTGGGATTGCTTGCTCCTTTCTGACCTTTCCTATACTGGGCATCATACCAGGACTTTGCACCTCATACTGGCCAAGCACTCTGCCCCTAAACTGCACCCCAGCTAACAGTGGGGATTTTGCTATTGTTCCAAGGAATGAGGACTTTGGGCAGAAGAGCAAGAAGAGCTGTGGCGGCCAGATGATGAGAAGCTGCTCTCTTGACTCACAAGCCTGCCTCACAAGGCCCCTGAGTTTCAGCAAGGTAGCTGAGATTTGACAGCCGGATATGAAATGGGCCCTAAGCCCTCTCCCAGGCGCCTGCACATGAGGGACCAGTGTGTGCAGAGGTCTTGCTAGGCCGAGTGCGGAACTGCAGCTTGGCCTGTGCTCTCCTTCCTGACCCCACGGTCTGCCCTGCCGCTCTAGCACCAAATCATATTATCATATTCTGCAGCACCATTTGTCTTCACTTGGCACCTGCTCTCTTTACTGCTGCTTCAAAGCAAAGAGCAAGCCTCAGGGCTGAAAGCTTGCCATTTACCGGAAGATAAATATCAAACTTAAGAGCTGCATTTAGCTCAAAGGCTCGTTTGAGGCCTATAGAGCCAGAGAACTGTGTGTTTAATACATGGCTTGTGCCAAGTTTAGGAGGTCTGACCTGTGATTTGTACGAACATCTTATAAATCAGTACAGCCATCCCACACATCCCTGCAGGCTGTGCTACAGAAAAGACAGCGTGATGTTCTCTCAGCTTGTTCGCTTCTGCCCTTCTAGCTGATACCATCTTTCCTGAATACTTGGACTCTCTGGAGACTAACACAGTTCCTGACTTTAGTGCACCACCCCTTACATATGCAAGGGAGACAGACCAAGTGGGCTTCCCGTCATCCTCATCCCGCTTTCCCAGTCCTGGCCTTTGTTCTCCCTCAAGGGAGTTGTATTTGTTTCTTCACTTGCTTCAGTGTCTACTTTATCAGTAGTTGAGTAATACAGAACAAGAACAGCTCTGACTCGATTTCAGTTTAGTTCTGCATAGGGAATACCTTTGACAACTGCAGACTCCTGAGGGAATTCAAGTGGTCTATGGCACCCACCTCAGAACCCAGCTCTGAAGTTGACACTCCAATGGGAATGCTCCTGATGTTCAAGGCTCTGTGTACAGCAAGCTCCTACAAGTTCCTAGGCTCCGCAGCCAGGAGCCCCTGCATCCTGAGTTGTCTGCATGCTCCATAATGGATATGCAGCTTATCAGAGGAAAATGTATTATTATTTGTTTTGAAAGCTGTTTGATTTAGAATACAAAATAACTGAGTTAATTAGAGGTATATGTTTTCAATTTTGTTTGAAACATACATTTAAGCTACTATAAAGATTATATGAAATGCCACTTAACCTATCTTTCAATCCTGGCAGTTATTTTAGTTCAAAATAGTTTATTAGGAAAAATTCTATATTTTCTGTATCTTTTATTGCATATTATAAATCATCAAAACATACTGATTAAATATTTTAACAGTAAAGATACAAACAAAACAAATATAAATCAGTCCTGTAATCTTCTGCTTAAAACTGATCCGGTAGCCTATCCATTTGCTCGGAATAATGTCCTAACTTCTCGCACAGTTTAAGATGTTCTGTAAGGTAGAAGAAAAGGCTAGATACCAGATTCTCTGTCTCCTCTCACCCTGCTGAAAATAGATCTTGGTAAAACCATTTCTACTTACAGGTGTCACCAAATAGA